CGGGAAGACCCTCGAATGGCGCCGCCCCAACCGGCCTTATGGCCCACGCCGCCACCCCGGGGCGCACCTGGAAGGACCCGCTCGCCGCCCCCTGCGCCTGGCCCACCCGGAGAACTGGCGTTCTGACTCCAATTTTCTTGTCCGTAAGATTTGGACAGTAACACTTTTCTAGATTCGATGACACATGGAAAGTTCTAGAACAGCTCCCCATGGTGCTCAATAAACGTGAGGGGCAGGGGCGCTCCTGCCTCTCTTCCTGGGGGCCCGATCCCCCCTCCCGACCTCGAGCGTGGTGTCCCCACGGGGGGGGGCGGGGGGCGGCGACTCCACCGCGACTGCGTGAGCGGGTTGGGCGAGGGACCCGGGAAACGAGGATTGCAGAGCGCGTGGGTGCGGGACGCTCACCGACCTGGGCAGGGCAGGAGGCCGCGGGGGCGGCTGAGTCATCGCCTGCCAGCCTGCGGACAGGCATTTTTATTTATCCTCTTCCTTTAAAGGGTTTAATAGGAGCAGGAAGTGATCCCCGGCTCCTCCCGTTCCCAGGGATGGGGGTGAAGCCGGCCAAGGGGACTTTTGAGGTGCACAGCCGCTCCAAGGCCTCCACCTTCCCAACGTCCACCCTGGGCTGTGACCCGGCAGGAGCAAGGAAGGCGGAGGAGGGGAGGGCGGGGGGCCAGGCCCGCCTCGCCATCTGTAGGCTTGGTGCAAAATGAAAATGCAGGTCTCCTGGTTCCGAAAGTATTAAATGCTTCAAGATGGTGACAGCAAAGTGTAAAATCAAACGCTGGATCTTCTGGGTACAGGCCCGTGAAGCTGGCCCTGGCACCGCCCCTGCCCTATCTGCCCTGGCTGTGTGGCCTTGGGCAAGTCCCCTAACCTCTCAGAGGGTCCGGAACCCCGGCCCTCAGGGTCACTGTGAGGGGGAAGGGCCAGGCCTGTGCAAATGGCATCCAGGTGGCAGCTGCGGGTGTGCCAGAGGACTGCTGGGGTGTGCAAGGGCAGGGCTGCACAGGAGGTAGAGATGCTGTCCAGGACTTTGGCCCGTGGGAGGACAGGACAAGCATCGGGACTGCTGGACATCATCCTCCAGGGGAGCTGGAATCTGCAGCCTGTGGGGGGAGGGGAGCAGGCGAGGGGTGGAGCCGCCAGGTAGAGGGGGAGGGGAAGACATCTCCTCTCAAGACAACCCGGGGCAGACTTGAGAGGAAGTGAGTTCCCCGCCACTCGGGCGTCCCAGCTGAGCTGCCGGCCCCTTGGCGGTCAGGGGGCATCACAGCAACAGGCTGGGTGAGACTGCTGACCCCCGCCCCCAGCATTTGGCCACAGAGGGGCCTGCGCTGTCCCGGGTGGGGCCTGGGCTGCTGGGCATTCGAGACCTGGGCAAGAGACGCCTTGGGCAGAGGGACACCAGGAGAAGCAGACCAAGGATGGAGCCACCATGAGCTCACCCGAGGCTCTGCCTGGACCCACCGGCGCCCGCCAGCCCTCCTGCCCGGATCCAGGGGCCAGTCAGTGGAAGCTGGGCACCAGGTGGACCCCAGACACTCAGGACTCGCCTAATGTGTGCCCGCAGACCTGGCCGGTGCTAGCGCTCCATGGAGAGCAGCCCCCCCCGCCCTACCCCGCCCCGTTCTGGGGAGCTCGGGGAGTCCATGGCGTGGGGGTGCTGGCTCCGTGGGGAGGCAGGGTCTCCAGAGGACAAGGCGGGCAAGACCTGGAAGGTCGGGGGGTCTCAGGGTGAAAGCATGTGCCCGCCTCTGTGCACTGACCCAGAGAATACCCTGCAGAGGCGTTCTGCTCACCCCCACTTCACAGGTGTAGAAAGGGGGGCCCCAGCGGAAGAGGGGCCTGGGGGAAGGGATGGGAGAGGCAGGGGGAGGAAGAGGCGTGAGAGGGCTTGAAGGCCGGGGAGGCCCTGCTCCTGCCCACCCAGCTCGCCTCTGCCCGTTGGCCAGGCCTCTTGAGGAGGGGGGAGGGGTCGGTGACCGGTGACCTGGGCTGGTGCTCTGACAGGTGGCACCAGTGGGAGCTGGGGGAAGCAGTCAGGTCATAGCGGGGGCTCCTGGGCGGGTGCCGGAGAGGGAGGAGGTGGCCTGGCCTCATTTCTCCCTCATGGTCACCCCTCGAGGCGGGGGCTGTGGCGGCTGCTTACTTAGATTTGCAGGGAACAGAATGAGGGGCTCAGAGAAGTTAAGTGGTTCATCTGAGCTCACACGGCCAGCCGTGGGCGTCCAACCTATCCCGCTGTACCCCGAGGCCTGGGGCAGGAAATAGCCCCCACCCGAGAGGCTGAGTGGGTTCTACGTTGGGGATGTTTGGTGGCTGTGTTTCGGGATGGGGACGGGGCCTGAGCCGCCCTGTGCCTCATCAGTGGCGTCAGGCCGTGGTCCGAGCCAAGTTTACTAATATTTATCCCAGGAAGGGATCTGCACGGCCTCGAGCGAACGCTCTCCCCTCTGAGGCAGACGGGGACTGGTCTTCGAACATCTGTCCGGGACACTCACCACCGGTCCAGCTGGCGGGGAAGAGCGAGGGTGCCTCTCCGAAACTTCCCAGTGAGGTCATTTCAACCGCAGTGACGAAGCCAAGCCCTGAGGCTGCTGCCCAACCAGCCGGGCGACCAGCCTGTGAGGAAGCTGTTCCTCACCCAGAGGTGCCTGGGGCGCGGCGCTCAGGGAGGCCAGGTAGTGGTTCCCCCTGCTCCCCTGCCTCCTCCTGGAAGACCCTCTCCTCCGGCCTCCTCCAGGAAGCCCTCCCAGGTTGCCAGGGCACGCCCTACGACCTGATTCCACCTGCTGCACAACTGCTGGGCCCTGGGGTCCTCGCGCCTGGGGAGGGCAGGGGAAGCCACACTGTCTGTAGTCATAGCAACCGGAAAGGCAGCATGATGCCACCTGATCTGAACCTGGCCCAGCCCATTGGCCACGGTCTGTGACTCAGGCCTGTCCCCTCCCGGCAGCTGCAGCCTGGGAACAGGGAGAGGCTCAAGGGCAGGGGGTGGGAGGCCCGGCCCGGTTTCAGCTCTGTCAGCCTGGCCTCGCCCCTCAGGGCTGTGTCCCATCTCCATCTGCCCATCCCTGCCCACAGCCCCTCAGCTGGAGTCTGCTAGGCAGGCCCCACCCCACAAGGCCCAGAACCCTCCTTGGCCCCGCAGCGAGCCCCTATTCCTCCCGCAGTACCCCGCCCGGAAGTCACCACCAGCTCCTAGAAGGCAGTGGCAGTGCCTTATTCTTTGGGGCCCCCAGGGCCCAGCCCAGGCGCCTGGGTGGACCTAAAAAGTACCTACCTCACTGTCTAGACTCTCTGGCCAGAGCCACTGAGGTCAGTGGAGACTGTTGCTTGAGGGTCAAACCGGGTCTGGAGCAGCGGGGACAGGGCCAGGTAGGTGCAGGCCCGCGAGAGCTCAGGGGACGCTCACAGAATGGGGAGGGGAGCCAGCCGGCATTCTTGCCCCTCAGCGGAGATGGCCCGGGACCTGGTTCGTGAGGGCGCAGGACGTTTCTGGAAGCTTGGAGGAATGAATGAACGCATGAACGCGTAAAATACAGGATGGGAGAGGGCGGGCCAAGGCAGACAGAATGGCGGCCACCATCTGGTGGCCGTTAGCCCTTCAAGGCGCCCAGGCAGCGTTGCCTCAGGACAGATAGGGTGTCTGGTTCCCCACCTAGCTGTCCCCACCCCAGCTTCTCGTTGGGCAGGCCTGGGGCAGGACCCCATCGTGTGCATTTTTATCAAGTTCTTTCCTACTTTAAAAAACTACTCAAATAGTAGCCAATGGTTGAGTGTGTCCAGTGTTTTGCTGTCACCATAAACTATGTCGCATGAGCGTCTGTGCCTTGAATCCACACGTGGGTAAAACGTCACCAGGACAGACTACGAGGCCCCCGGGGAGGGGCTGGTTAAACATGTGACAGCTCTAACGGAGTCACCTGTCAACTTACACTCCCATCTGCAGGTATGGGATGCCCAGGCCCTGCTGGCCTAAGGACGGACACCATTTACCAACCTGATGGCCACGAGCCGGGCTCTGGTCTCCACGGCCCCTCTGTCCCCCGGGAGGCTGCTCGCCTCTGGGCATCTGCAGGCCTTTCGCGTGTTTTTGCTCTTCACACGCGGTCTCCATCTGGAAAGGTTCTGTAGTGGCTGACGGAGACCCCCCCAAACCGCGTGCCCACGTCCTAACCCGCAGGCTGCGAGGGCGGCCACATGGTATTTCCTTAATGGCACAGATGTAAACAGTTAAAGACCTTGCGAGATCATCGACATGGGCCCTGAATGCTGTCACAAGTGTCCTGAGAAAAGAGGCCCAAGTGACCAGAGGCAGAGGTTGGAGGGACGCGGCTACCAACCTGGGAACAGCTAGAGCCCCCAGAAGCCGGGAAAGGCAGGAAGGACCGTCCCCCAGAGCCTTGAGAGGGAGCACGGCCCTGTGACACCTTGATTTTGGACTTCTCATGTCCGGAGCCGTGAGTCAGCTGTTCGAGGCCGCCCAGTCCAAGGTCCTCTGTTACAGTCACCGCAGGACACCGTACAGCCCCCAGGGGACGCCCATGCCGCCCCCGCTCTGGGCCCAGCGCGCACAGCCGAGGGCTGACGGGCCAGTGAGAGGCCTCAGCCGGCCTTGGCTAGTGAGGCCCGGAGATCGCCGGTCCCCAAGCTGAGTGCCAGGGCGAGTGGCTCTGCACATCACCTGGCCTTCCGCAGGGACAGGTGTGCAGTGTGCTCTGGGCACGTCTGGAAAGCGACGGAGACGCTGCCGGGCCCGGACGGGGCGCCGGAGGCTGGGTCCTCCTGGCCCCAAACTCCGAGCCTGGCTGGATGCGGAACTGCAGGGGATGCGGTGCTGGCGTCTCGTGCTCAGAACCATCATCCCGCAGGGCTCCCACTGAAGGCCGGAGGCCTCGGCAACCCCTTTCCCCACTCCCTCAAAGCCTGTCCATCCCAGCCCACCTCCGCCCCTGTCCCGCCACTACTCGTCCATTGGACCTCTTGCCTAGACACCTGTGGGCATCTGCACAGGTGTCCTGGGGCTGCTGTGACAAATGATCATACACTTGGTGGCTTAGAACCACACAGATCTTACTTCCCAGTTGTGTGGACCAGAAGGCCGATGAGTCTCTCTCTGCAGAATGTGCTGGGAAAGGCCCCTGAGCCTGACCTGGGACCCTCAGGGGGCCCTGCCCCTAGCCAGGACCCAGTGCCCTGTCTCCTCCCGTTCTTAGGGCCTCCCCCCAGCCCTGCCCTCTAAGGGAACCCCAAGTACAGGGCCTGGGGGTGCATCTCACGGTTCCCCTCTCCCAACTCGGCCGCAGAGCCGGAAGAGACCCAGTAAAGGCAGGGCTTGTCTAGGTCAGAGGGTCACAGCCACGGGACCTGATCCTCGGGGAGGGCAGCTCCAGCCCCTGCTGGACACGGGGGCAGGTTGAGACCTAGGCTCTCCCCAGCGGCCTCGGCTGGGGGAAGAGTCCAGGCTACGGTGGCCAGTGCCTGCCTGCACCCCAGAGGCTCCTCGGTCTCCCAGCTTCCCCCTCAGAGTGCACACTCCCTGTTCTCTGAGGCCAAGGGCCCTCTTCCCCAGACTGGCTCCGAGATGGCAGGCACTGGGGAGGGCCGGCGTGGGCAGCCCCGCCCGCGCTCGGGGTCTGGGCTGAGGGCGGCCTGGCCAAGCTCACGTGGGCCTCCTCTCCTGAATCCCGAATCCCCTGGGCCGTGGGAGGAAGTGGAGACTCCCCATGCCTCAGAGGCAGAAGCCGAGACCCAGGGAGGAAGGAGCCGCAGAGGGGTGCCTGTGAGCAGCCCTGCTCCCCCTGGGCCTGGGGAGGGTCCTGGCTGCAGTCCCCATGAAACCTGGAGCGTGGCTGGGCTGGGCTAGGCCTGTTAGGTTGTCATAGAAACTAACTTCCGGCCACGCCCTGGGTGTGCTGAGTCAGCATGGCCAGGTTGGGCCAGTGACCCACACACACTGGTGACATCTGGGGCTGGCAGAGTAATCTAGCCTCAGGGTGTGTGTCCTGGCCTCACCCTCCTGGCGGCCTTAGGACACCAGGCCAAAGGGGAACCCAGGTGGACAAGGTGCCCGGGGCAGCACACCACCCAGGTGTCCGAAGCTCAGCCAGGGCCAGCGTGAGCGTGGGTGCTGGAGCCTCGGCCGCTGGGGGCCGCTGTGCCGTGTCTCTGGTGCGGGGGCCAGATGGCTGGGTCTAGGGTTCCTCAGGCTCCTCACCCCACACAGCTGTGCTTCCTGAGGCTGGGGTGGGGAGGACACATCCGTCTCTAGAGGAAGTCGTTCTAGGAACTCATTACAAAGGCTTCAAGGCAGAGGCCAAAGTCCAGGTGTGGCCAAGCTGGGTGGCTGGGAAGATTGGCTGGGGGAGGGCGGAGCGGGAGGGCGGCTCACACCTACAGCGCCCTCCAACAGGGCTCCAGCCCCCACCACGGCCCCTTCTTTAACTGGGGGCTTTGTGCAGCTGAAGCAACCCGATGACGGACGGCTCTTCTCCCGCTGCCCTCCCCGGGTCCCCTCTGCAGCCCACCCAGCATTCCCCACAGCCCATGGGACACTCAGGTGGAGATGGGACACACGCACACTCTCTGAGCAGAGGGACCCATCAGGGTAGGTCAGAGGCCAGCAACACCACCAAGACAGGCCCAGCTGAGGCCAAAGGCTCCACCCTCCCAGGCCAGCTTGCTCTGGGAGCCATTGGGCTGATTCTGCTTGGCCGACAACCTGGTCCTTGAGGGAGGGGTCCTGGCTTTGTGGGGAGCCCGTGGGCCCCGAGGAGGATTGCTGGGCAGCGGGAGGGGGTAGGCCGGGCCTCCGCTTGGCCCACAGGATGGGGCCACAAGCCAACACGGCAGACTGGCCGCCAGGATGGGCAGGCCCTGCAGAGGGGAGCGCGTGGACCTCCCACAGGTGTAAACAGAGGACCCCGCCACTGGGTGGCCACAACTCCTGACTCCTCAAGGAGAAAACCAGAATTTTAAGTGGAATCACCTCAATTTGGGGGCTTTTGAAAAATCGGGTCCATCGACGTCTAATTCATATACACAGCCCGTGTGCCTGCCTGCCCTGCCGCAGACACAACTGTGTGGCCACTTCCTTCTCCCAGTGTCCCGCCCCCCAGGCAGGCACTGTGCAGTGCAGGGTCCAGAAGTCACAGAGATGGGTCACCTGCCCGGCCCCGGGTCCAGCTTCACTGTCATGCTTTTGAGATCCCTGTGTTGTAGGGTTCCTGCCGCTGAGGACGACTCTGCTGTGGGGGGCCCAGCACTGCTATCACCCCACCTTTAGCTGCTGGCAACTGGCAGAAGCATCCCAGCCACCTGGGGAGCCCCTGGCAGAAGCATCCCAGCCACCTGGGGAGCCCCTGCCCAGGGAGGGGCTCGGAAATGACAGCTGGGTCAGAGCCAGTCATCTGGCTTAGAGTGAGTCTGTGGGCCCAGCCCCATGACAGGTGAGACCCAGGCCCTAAGGAGAGACACCAGCACAAGCCTCACGGCCTCTCAGGGAACGAGGAGGGGCCTGGGGAGTCGCTCTAAGGATGGAGAGGGAGAGGGCGGTAGATCTGCAGGGATGACGCCCGCCTGGAGCCCTGGGAAGGAACACTGTGACGTCTGGGCCTGGCGGGGGACGACTCCAAATCCGGGCTGGGGCTGGGCTGGTGAAGCCTGGCCATTGACCCCAGCTTATGACAGGGAATCAGTGGGGACAGAGGCAAAGGAACAGCCAGACCGGCACTGTGGTGGATGCATTCTGGGCTCCATACCTAGCCAGCTGGGGCTGGGCCAAGACAGTGACCAGCCAGATCTGCTCCAAGTGCCACCTTCCCTGCTGCCTCCTGGCTGGTTCGTCTGGGGAAACCTGGGCGCTGTGACTTTCCAGAGCAGTGGGAAGGATGGATGAGCTCCTGTCCATCACACAGCCCAGGGGACGTTCCCAGCAGCACACGGGTACCCTGGTTCTGGCAGCTACAAAGTCCACTGAGAGTAGGAAGTGACTCACCATGTCCCCTGGCCATGTCCAACTGCTGCGGTGCACTGTACACACACAGGGTGTGGACTCCCGTCACAGGGGATGGGAGCCCACTTTTCTGAAGCCCTACACTGCTGGAGGAGGGGCCCTCATGACACCGAGCTGTGGACCTTGTCACTGCCAAGCTGAGGCCCGAAGAGCCTCTCGCTGACTCAGTGAGGCCCAGCAGCCTGCATGCACCTGAGAGGTGCTGGTGCTGTTAGTGAACACAGATCTGCCACCCACTGGTGACAAGGCTGGGAGCAGGAGGAGCAGCCAGCCGGCAGCAGGCTTCTCCCAAAGACTGTTCTCCAAGGAGCCCTCGCACCGGCTGCTCCCAAGACGTCATTTTGTGTACTCTTTCCTGACCTCTCACTTATCTTATAGAAGCTCATTCTGAATGCCAGGAGTCAAGGTCAACGGGGATGAACAGCACCCCTGATGGTCCAGGTCCAGCGGCGCTGTGTGGGCGGGCCCCTCTCTGCAGCCTGCCCCTTGGAGCGAGCTTTTCACCAGCGTCAACCACAGGGGCGCCCGCAGGCACCTCAGTCCCCGCTTCTCCTCGGCCTCAGTGGCCTGGCGGGGCTAGAGGGACACACAGCTTGCCTGCGCTCTCCGGAAACAGAGGATGTTGAGGCTCTGCTGTTGTTTGGGGTGTGCCTCGCCCTTCCCAGGAGCCCGCTCCCACTCGGGGGGCGGCCCTGGAGGGCAGGTCGCACGAGGTCCCAAGCAAGCGCTCGTGCAGCGGGTACTTCCGGGAGGAGCCAGCAGAGAAGCACCTGCGAGAAGCCAGGAGAAACAGGCCTTTCTCTCTGGGAACCTTCTGGGTTTAAAAGGCCCACAACCCTGAGGACCGGCCCTCTGGGGCAGGAGCACACTCCTTCCTGAGGTGGCCGAGGGCTTGCCAGGGGGCCCCAAGCTCACCCCGACACAGTGATGTGGGCCTAGAGGGCAGGCTACGTGCAGCCTCTTCCTAAAAACTGGCTTAAAAGCCTCAGGAACAAAGCAGAACACCGGAAGACAGAAATGCCGGACATGTCCAGCGTAGGGCTCCTCAGAGACAGGCCAGGAGGGACGGGGCAGACAGTGGTGCCCACCCGCTCCTCCCACCACGATCTCCCACAATAAAGACCACACACGGCACTGGACTCAGGTTTCACAACTTTAATAGAATATTCTAACTATTCTGTACAAATTGAAAATGCTGTATTCAGTTACAAATGTGTCATAAGTAAGGCTGAGCACTCTCCAGGCCCGGTCACAGTGTGGACCTGGCACCCACAGCGGCCAGGGACCGTGGTCACACTCGAAAACCCCACATTCTCGCTAACAACAGGCTGCTCTGAACCCAGGGCTTTTAAGACAAGGTGTACGTGGGGCTGAGGAACAGGAGCTACGAGCGAGCGAGATGCGGCACTGACACAGAGTAGGAGCTGTGCCCCCTGCCCGCGCCCTCGCCACGGACGACGGGCGCACTGGGCTCTGCCCCCCGCCCGCATTACGAGCAAGCGAGACGCGGCACTGACACAGAACAGGAGCTGTGTCCCCTGCCCCCTGCCCGCGCCCTCGCCACGGACGATGGGCGCACCGGGCTCTGCCCCCCGCCCGCCCGAAGCCGAGGTGGTCCGCGCGGCCCGGACACCAGCCCCCGGGGCAGCAGCGAGCGGCAGGACTGCTGTTCCTCCTGCGCAGGCCTCGCTTCCAGAAAAGATGCCACCCCCTCCGTGTGGCCACGTCGTCAGGTCTCCAGCCACAAACATGGTTTCAGAAACACTAAGGACAAGGGACGGCACGCGGCCCAAGCCCTCACAGCACGAAAGAACAAATAAATACGAGGATGAACCAACCACACGAGCTCGCGCCTCAGCGCCGTGAGCCACACCCCACCCCCACCCCGAGGACAGAAAACGAGAGGACGCTGAAGACAGGACCGCGCCGCGCGGCTCGCAGAGACGGCAGAGGCCGAAGCCCGGCCGGCGGGGAACGAAGCGCGTGAAAGAAGAATCAGTCCGATGGCGGCAGTGAGGTGACTGCGTCTAGATGCCCCCGCCCTGGGCGACCAGTGACCTTTCACCCCCACCCTGGTGTGGCCTCTGGGGCGCTCCCAAAAGCAGAGCCTGCGAAGTCCACTGAGCTGCATCCGAGGCCGTGGAGGGTGCCGGAATTAAACCTATTTCTGAAACGCATTAAAGTTGCCACTGTACAGGTTAAGCGAAATCATAAGGTAAAGGGAAAAGTTAAAGTGAAAATCATGCACTTGAAAACGAGTTGCTGGAAGCACTGTCAGCGGGGGTGTGAGGCTGTTGCGGCCGGGCCGAGTCCTGACGCGTCTGCGGGCGGCGCTGGCGTCTCACTGCTGCTTGCACTCGGACGGCTGGCTGGGCTCCTTCTGTCAACGAGAGAGGGCAGGGCTGGTGGAGAAGCCGGCATCTTGGCCGCCGCGGACCACCCAGGCTCACCACGCTCGCGCTGACCGACAGAGCGGTCACCGCGAACACGCTCAGGACAGTAACGAGAAACGAGCTGCCTGCCCGGCACTGTCACAGGAGGGCCGCCCCTTCTGTTTAGGGTC